ACTAGTGTGATTTGGCCTTAAGACGAACAATGTCGATAATGCAGAGACGATCGTCACTGACATAATCACGCTATCCTTTTCGTATTTCTTATATATACAGAACTTACACGAATGTGTTGCTTTGTTTTACCATATTCAACGGAGAACCTAACCTAATATATGTGTAGAAATCTTTTTGCAAACTTTTTCGATATTCTTAAGTTTCCAAATATAGATGCGAAGGTAGAGCAATGTTCTTTAAAATTTTTCTGTTTGGAGCATCCACACTTTCAGTATGTATAAGCTACGGAACTTTTGGATTAGGCAAATATTACTCTGACAGCTTGAGATTTTACATTAAAAATTTTTTGCTCGTTTTTGTCACATATCAAGCAATGTTCTTATTTATTTTTGCACGTACGTTCATTGCGTAAAAGCATTTGTAATTCTGTGTAACCAATACGACGTAAACTTTGTAGAAAAATGTCAGTATTTTGTCGGTAAAGTTTTCAGCTTCTACCGAGCGGCAGCTCAGGCCACTGTCCAATCAGCACGCGCTGCGGTGAGACGAACGTTTCATACACTGTTGCATGGACATGAGAGGCTGGCCAGCTAGCCAGCACCGCAGCGCGCGTGCTGATTGGCCAGTGGGCTGCCACTTAGTAGAAATCATTTTTAGAAATTTTTTAATATCTCCAAATTTTACGCGGTTGTTTAAAAAAAGACACCAATTCCATTCACCCCGACCTATTCTAGCTATACTATATTTACTCTGATACGGTACGTCAGACAACTTGTATATAGTATACAGATAAAGATTAACAAACGCTGCAAATAATACGATTTGTTTTCTTTTTTTGGATCTATATTTCTTACCTGTTCATCGCGAGATGGTACATTTGCTAGATACTCCTTCATCTCAGGCTTCTTAGGGTCAGCAATAGCCAATACCGATACACATCCATCGACTGTTCCCAAAACAATACTTTTACCGTCATATGTGCTGTCAATAGCACTCAATTCAGCTTGTACTCTATAATTCGATATCATTTCACAATCTGAAGATCTGTGAAATAAATTGTTTACATATAAATTCATGCAAATTTAAAATCTTTCCTTATAACGTATTTAAGAACGTCTCATATTTCAAAAATAATGAAAAAATTTTGAAAGAATTAAAAATTGACCTATACTGCATCTGTATAAAAGTAATCGCAAACAACTCGACATTGATTCAGAGCCTGGATGAAAAATTATTCTATTTTGAGATGTAAATCCAGCAAACATGACGTCAAATAATGCTTTAATATGATACGTTAATGATATCTCTGAAAGAAAAAATAATTAAAAAATAATGACAAAATTCTCAATTTTTCTATACGTGTACTTTAAGTATTCAAGATTATGTATGCGAAATTTTCATTATGGTTTAGAGATAAAAATTTTAAAAAAAGTCCGCAATATATAATATAAAATAAAGCAAATATTGCAAAAATATAATAAAGTAAAAGTATGTTGTATGTGTAACTGTATCGTACAGAATATCTAATGTAACTCGCTTGTGTGCAGGTAGAATTCGTTAAACTAAACACAAAAGTCTTCTGTCATTTTGCAAACTACATAAAATTTTTAGTTATTAATTGAAAATGATTGATGAGTGATCGCGCGCTATGCGGTGCAGGGTGCAAATTGTTTGTAAAATGATTTTGTGTGTTAAATTTGGCGAGTTCTAACCTAACAAAAGCGGACGTGCAAGTTGCAGCAGATACCTTGTATACCATTTTTATAAGAAATACTTGTATACCGTTTTTATAAGAAAAAAAAATAGAAATAACGTATTTCTAATTTTCAGTAACTTTTTGCAGAAACTATAAAATAATATATTTTTAAAAGCATATATGAATTCAAATCAAATTGAGATAAAATACAGTTTTCAACAATTTTGTAGATTGATTGTCTCTTTGAGATTTACTATCTTTCAATATACTTGCCTGAAGACTCTGATAGTTTTTCGGCCGCTATGATAATAAAGCACATACTCGTCTGTGCGATTAAACATTGATATGACGGTAAATACTCCTTCAGCTACCTTCGGTATATATGTTTTCACGCTTGTACCTTTCTTCAACTCTATGAGTTCAAGGCCACCCCTATACATTTGGTCAGTGTCAAAAGTAACCATACACTTTGATTATTCTAATTCTACGTAGCCAAACATCTGATTACCCATACAATGTTTTCTATTTCGATGTACGATTTTTGGATGTATATTTGATAATTATATTTAGACGATTTGTGTTAGATTTAGTCTCTCGTCAAAAATTTACAGACAAAACACATGTTAGAGTCGATGCTCCATTTGTGGCTACTTTAAGGATTTTCGACGAAATAAACGTGTTTTAATTAAATTCCCTTCGTTATCTAATGTCTTTAATTATTTTAATATATTATTAAGAATCTGTAAATAATAAATTTAAGACCGATAGGCAAAATAAATTAAACACATTTTTAAAAAATAATACTTATGTCATAATTTCCGATTTCACTGTTTTTGGCCACCATAATACCAGTTCTTGTCATCATAAGTACCTGTTCTGGCCACATAATGAAATTGAGATTAATTTATAATGAAACAATTAATAAAAAAGTATATGCAATAAAAATCATGATTTAATGTTAATATCTTAATGTTGATATTTATTTTAGTAAAACTCCTGTTTAGGGAACCCCCTTCAGATGACCTTGATCTTGACATATGTTATAGAGGTCACCCTCCTGAGTGATCTTCTGAAGGTTTTAGCCGTCGTTGTTTGTTAAAAAGTTATTAACAAAAAAAGTTGTATGAATGTAACGTAATTTTTCAAGACAGTTTTATAAAATACACATTTTTCCTTTCACTTTTGTGAGAAATTCTCACTCTTTAGTTGAAGTACAACAGACTTGCAGCACCCTCGCCGCGGTGCGGGGGATTTTGGGGGCGTAGCCTCTCAGTTACACGGCTAGAGACAGATATCTTTTTTATTAATATCTCGGAAACTATAAGCGACCGCCATATAACCATGTTTATATTGTTGAAATATGGTAAAAAATAAAAAAGATGCTTGTTCTTAGCCGTGTAATGGAGAGGGATTACGCCCCCCAGACCCCCGCACCGCGCTGAGGGAGAGGGCGCAAGTCTGTTGTACTTAAGCTAAAGAGTGAGCATTTCTCATAAAAGTGTGAGAAAAAGTGTGTATTTATAAGACTTAAAATATAATAGGAAGACACGCACACATCGCGAGCCTGCCCTGTCGGGCGGGCAAGCGCGCTTGCTGGCGAGCAGTGTGTGTGTGTGTGTGTGTGTGTGTTAACGGTATCAATATCGAGAAATTGTTATATATTTTTCTAACTTCTTTCATCAATAACTTTTTAACAATGAGCAGTGGCTGAAACCTTTTGAAAGTCACTCAGGAAGGTGACCTCTATAACATGTCAAAGTTAAGGTCATCTGAGGGGGGTCCCCTAAACAAGAGTTTTACCTTTATTTTCAATTTATATATATATATATATATATATATATATATATATATATATATATATATTAGCATCTTTTGTTTTTTATGGTAAATACGTAAAAAGTTTTCTTTTATGTGTGTTTATCTCTGAAGTTTTCTTTTTAATAAAACGATTTTTCTTATTATCCATCTAAAGAAACAAAAATAAGTATATTTACAATGTATAATTATATATATAGTATGTATACATATATATATATATATATATATATATATATATATATATATATATATA